CGCACCCCAGAGCTCATTCATAGTTCTGGGCAACTATGGTGGAGGCGGATTTCTAAGGCTGCCTGCACCTGCCTATCCAGCTCAGAGATGCTGCAGTATAACTGACATCTGGCTCTGTCAATCCAAGACTTGTCTTCCAGCCTGAGAGAGCATGATGGGTTCTCAAACCTCGGAGACAATGGTGAACCCCCTTGCGCCACCCATCCATGAAGAACTCAAATCATCAAGGAGCTTTCCTCGATTTGTGCCGAGTTCCCCAACTCACAGAATGTTCAAGATTAAATTTCTCTCCCACCATTTTCCTATGGGTCAGAAACACTGTAGAGCTAGTTACTGCTTCAGATGTCCTAGTAGAGGCTGTTTTTCTATGCAGTGTGCATGGATTTACGTTGTGTTGGTCTACCTAGAAGCTTTCCTGACTCACAGATCTTGGTGTGCAGCAGGTGAAGACCTTGCTGGCTCTGGCAGGATGCTCAGGCAATGTTGCTATTTTTCTACTGCAGCACAGTCTACAAAATTGTGAAGTTTAAACATGAACACTGTGAAAGCACTTCATGCCTTGCGAGAAAGTAGTGAAAACCCCGTAGAATCCAAACCCACACTTAGCGCTTCTGCACTGGTGTGACTGGGATGTGCTTGGCAGGTCACTGATTTTTGACAGTGTAACTGAAAGGTAAGACAAGCCACAGGAGAGAGGAAAGAGCCCATGCTTCACCCACAGCCCTCCTGTGAGGTCACAGGAGACTTGCTGTAAAATCATGACTATTCATACTGCAAATCATCCTTAATCAAAGGACGACCATGTGGGACCTATGTCAGACATCAAGTTTATGTTTTAAATCCTTGTATTCTGGCCAGTGCAGTGACTCATGCCTGCAATCCCAGCTCTTTGGGAGGACAGGTGGGAGGATTAACTGAGGACAGGAGTTCAAGGCCAGCCTGAGCAACTCCATTTCCACAAAAAGTAAAAAACTCGCCAGGCGCAGTGGCACACACCTGTGGTCCCAGCTGCTCAGGAGGTGGAGAGGGGAAGCTTGCTTGAACTCAGGTGGTCGAGGTTGTACTGAGCCATGATTGCACCACTGAGCTCCAGCCCAGACAACACAGCAAGATACTGTCTTCAAAAAAAGAATCACTTGATTCTGTTCTACCTGCCAGTAAAATTATCCCTAAATCATTTTTATTGGATGAGATGTAATGAAACTTTACCATATTTCAAGTATCACCACCTTTTTTTTTCTGGGACTATAAGCTCCCTAAAACAGGATGTAAAACGGACACAGCTCAAGCGTGTTAAACTGCACGAGCCTCTCAGGCTGACTGTGGGCTGGCGACATGCTGACGCCTCCCTCTCAACCAGTCCCCCGCAGTTTAAATATGCCCAGCAGAATCTGAGGGGTCTACCTATTGTCGTTTCTTGAAAAAAAAATAGGAATTACTATATTACAAGTTCTCTCTAAAACTCGAGACTTAGCACCTCCCAGCCATTGTGTTGTATGTGTCTCATCCATTATTTTACCTAAAAACCACACCAGCTTTCTTAGAATGAACAACCATTCCCCTAGTCTTATATTAATAAGTAAAAAATTAATAAAAAAGACTTAAAAATACATGGAAGTTATGCAAAATCACAGCTATCCACTTCATTTTCCTGAGCCTCAGTTTCCCCTTATGATAAGAATTCTTACAACACTGTCTCAGAGGGTCGTTATGGAGATCAAATAAAATGCTGTATTGCAGCCCTTTGCACAGTAATTGACACACACATTAAGCATTTAATGAAAGCTGCAGTAAACCAGAACGCTTTATTAACTAGAATACAGCATGACCCCGAACAGGCCACATAAAAAGAGCTCAAAGAAACATATGCAAAGAATGTGGGCAAATGTATTTTCAGGTTATCAGAGTCTTTAATTACACTCTTAGGGAGATGGAAAGCTTGCTTTCACAGTGCTTTTGACAGCAGAAAACAAAGTGTGCTTTTCTCTCTCCCTCAGCCCACGGCTCTGTGTGTAAGGGAATGGAGTCTGAGAGCCAACGTTTGAGGAAGTCAGGAATCATTGCGAGGACCCAGATGGGGAGTCATGGGAATAGGCCAAAAGCTTGTCAAAATTTCAACATGGTTTAAAAAAAAAGCTCACAAAAATCACTTAGCCACACAAGTTTTAAAGTACGTTCTGACAATTTCCTTAAATAAGGGCTGTATCTACAACAGACCTGATTTAAATTATATTTTATGCATTCAATTGTCGAAAATCAACTCCATTCTGCACAGATTGCCATATTTTTCCATAACAAATGATGAGAGATAGCATTCGTAAGAAAGCCCGTCCATAAGATGTTACTTAAGAAATATTGATATTTTCCCAGGGTTTTCTCATTAGTGTCACTCAGTTCGTAGAGGCAAACATTCTGATTTGAGGAAGGAAGCAGGAGACTGCACTTTATTTATGCTCTTCACGTATTTCTTCTCAAGTATTTATAACCATTAGAAAGAAACAAACTTTGCATTCACAAGCTGACAACGAAACAGGACAAATATTCGTCACAATTCTCCACATATCCTAAATAGACTCCAAAAAGGAAGGCCTGAAGGAACTTCTCTAAATATAGTCAAATGGCAAATTAACCTAAAACTCAACTGAGTAAAGAATAACTTGCTCCCACTTCCTCGACACCTAACGTAAGTTGAGACTAATTGCACCTCCATATAAAAGGGCCTGGTGTTTTCTTTGGTGGGCTAATATACCTGAAACTTTGGCCAAAAATGGTTTTGTGAAAATGGTTTGCACTGCCTACTCACCAAGTGTTTGTACCCACTCCCGAAATAGTCAAATATATTAGCATCTATGCACATATCTTCAGCTAACACTGACATCAACATTTTGAGGATTCGTCTGAATCAAAACAATAAAGCATTTTTCCACCAACAGATATTTAACACCTTCAATGTACAAGCATTTTGCTAAGTAGTTAGCCAAAGTAAAGGTGAAAGTGTCAGTGACATGTGACCCAGGAACTTGAGATCCAGTTAACGGAGTATACCGCTAACTTAAACCTGTACCCCGCAAACATAGCAAAGGCCAACAGAAAAGCAAGAGTGGTAAGATTTCCAGACAAGAAAAAGGCTTTTTTTTGGTAAGTGGGAGTCTTGGCTATCACTGTGGTGATTAGATCCCCTGGTCTGGAAGACTTAGCTTCATATTCTATAGCCCAGGGTGTGGTCTTTCCATCTTTTTTAATTTCTTTTGTTGTTTTTTTTTTTTCCTTAACTCATATTTGCTGTTGTTGCTGTCATTTCTATAAGTAAGGATACTGGAATGATTTTATTTCATAGACCTTCAAGTTATAAAAGCAATTCAGGCCGGGCGCAGTGGCTCAAGCCTATAATCCCAGCACTTTGGGAGGCCAAGGCGGGTGGATCACAAAGTCAAGAGATCAAGACCATCCTGGCCAACATGGTGAAACCCCGTCTCTACTAAAAATACAAAAAAATTAGCTGGGCATGGTGGCACGCGCCTGTAGTCCCAGCTATCCAGGAGGCTGAGGCAGGAGAATTGCTTCAACCCGGGAAGTAGAGATTGCAGTGAGCCGAGGTCGAGCCACTGCACTCCAGCCTGGCGCCTGGTGACGGAGTAAGACTCTGTCTCAAATAAATAAATAAATAAATAAATAAATAAATAAATAAAAGCAATTCATTGATTGAAAATCAACTGCAAATATTTATTCAGGAAGAAAATGTTATATAAACAAGGAATGAAACCTGATTTTCTAACATTCAGAAGAGTGATACGGCAACACATATGAAAACAATAAAAGTGGCCATATTAAAAACTCAGCAGTTCTCCTTTCTCTCAGAATTTTGCTGAAAGATGTGAATGGAGATTGATGCTCACAGGGCTTTAAATACGTCCCTTTAAGTGCTGTTTACAATAGATAAAAGTTGGAGTAAGCCTGAAAGCCAAGTGGTGGTGGCCTAATTAAGTCAATTATTGATATTTGAACGGTAGACTGCTCCATACCACTGAAAATTACGTGCTAGAGCTCTTGAAATCCTTGCATGAATTCTGAGTTTATATTGTTCAGTGCAAAAAGCGAACAATAAAGTTGATTGCAATGCATGTTAAGATCTTCAGCTATACGAATAGAGAGAGGAAATGGGGCAGCCCTGTTTATCTCCAGGTATTGGGGTCAAAGCCATGGTGGGCATTTCTGTTTATCTGCAGGGGTTTGTGTGTGTGTGTGTGTGTGTGTGTGTGTGTGTGTGTGTGTGTATGTGTGTGTGTGTCTTTAACTTCAATCCATGAATGTATATTGCTCCAAGGGGGAAAACACATACCTGTTAAGATAAAAAATACCTCCCCAAATAAAAGCTAAATCAAACAAAAAACAGATAACAAAAATCCAGAAATGCTTATTACACAAACACCAGATTCCCTCTATGACTCCGACATGGCCAGACACCTTCCTTCGTCTCCTCCGAAGTATCCCAGGTCCTTTCTGCTGACAGCCTCATGCCCACTCCTACGGAATTCAGCAGCTTCCCAGAAGTGTCGCATCAAACCCTGTGCAAAGTGACTTCCTCCCGCAGCCACCCCAACTCATGGCTCAGAACTTTAAGGCGTGAACCTTGATTTCGAAGAGTCATTCCCAGCAAACCACCCTGAAACCCTGTGGGTCTTTCCCACCTGGAAGGAGTAGGGAGTAGGGTGGTTTGGGAGATAGTCTTATTTTCAGAGCAACAACGCTTTCCCTGCCTCCTCCCACTGCCTGACCCTGGCAGGATGAATGGCTCTCAAAATGAAGGCTCCACTTGCCCCTCCAAAGGGTCAGGGCTCATCCATTCCTGGTGAGGCTGCCCCCCATTCACTGAGTAATTACAGTTGGAGACACTACAGCCTCAGACACTGAACAGCTGAGATTCTGAAAATCCTTAAGACAGGAAAACTATAAACATTAATAATTAATTTGTTTTGACAACTTCTTCTTCCTTTTCTCAGGCTTTCACAATCCATCACCTTAAGTGCAAGCACATCGCTAAGAACTCCGCAAGGATTAAGAACCAATAAAAAGGAGGCAAACGACTTACTAGAAGAGATTTACTAGTGGTGGGGGATTCAAGGAATCCACTCTCTACTCTGAAAGAAACACGCTCCTTCCAGTCTCTCTCTGTGGACTGAAATCCACAGATGTCCGAGCCAGCCCTCTGCAGTGCAGATATATCCCCCAAAAGACTGGAACCCCGGCGGTAAGGACGCTCAAGCAGTCGCCATCGGAGATGCTTTGAATAATCAACTTTCTACTAATGCAGAGGCAAATGAACGATAAGCAATGTAAACACATATAGACAGGCAGAAATTGAACAAAAAAGCACAAACAATGGGAAGCGAAATAAGAAAAAAGATAAGCAAAGTCAGTAAAGAGAAGGAAAAGATGTGTGTTTCTTTCAGGCTATTTTCATGACTGTTTTTTGAAATCTAGCTATATTTTTTAAAGGGAAGTGGGAGAGAATTTACATTGATTCCCTATACCCCAGATTTTTTTTTTTTTTTACTTCTCCAACTTAACCCTGCACCACTGTGTCTCAAATGAGGAAACTGAGGCTCCAGAAGTCGAACAATGGAAAATAATAGAGTTGGACTAAAACAAAGGGCTGTTTTTTGGGCATGGAAGTCCATCTATCACATCAGATCACATCAAGATACCTCTCACAGGCTGGTTGTGTGATAATCAAATGAGTTTTCAGTCTTGTGTTTACATGGGAAGTGTGTGTAAAGAAGCAGGTCATTGGGGTCCTCTGAATTCATTTTGAAAGCTTTCATCTTGCTCTGCTCTGTGCTTCTTCTTCACTACTGGCCTTTGCACTGTTGAAAGCACATGCATTTCCTTCTATCCAGCAAGTGCAGTAATGTTTTCTAACGTGCCTATTTTCCAGTAAGCCAGCAGCACATTCAAAATAAAAACTTTAAGGTCTTCTTCACTTAATATCAAGTAGCAACGGAAGACTTAAATGGGTTTGTTCTTTCTGCATTCGGCCCACAATGATGGACATTCACCCTTTGGGAGCCACCTTTGCAACCACGGCTTACGGTGTCACCTTTCCTTAAGCATTTAGGGATAAGATTTAGTAATGATTACATTCCAACATTTACAACGATCAAGATAAATATCGCTACTGTTTTGTTTCTAAAGATTGATGAAGAATTTGTTAGTCAGTATATCACACATTCTGCATATATAAATATAATGTCCTTCACAGACAATATCTGGTATAAAATTTAGTTCCATGTTGAAGGGCATCAACTTAGTGATTCTGTGAGTCAAAAGCTCACTTTTCCATTTCTCTGGGTTCTGACACTCAGCTCTTCTGCAAAGGTGGAGGTCCAGGATGTCTAGTGCCTCTCAGCTCTACCTGAGAAGCACCCAAGGCTGGCCCTGCCGAGTGCTGCAGACAGAATTCACGTGCGGGGGGGAGTGGGGGAGTGGGGGGTGGGGCCCTGCATGCAGCAGAGGCCCATACGAGATGCTGCCACATATTTCTATCTTATTCCTTAATAAGGAGAAGTATTTGGAGATGCGGAGAGTCCCACCATTGGATAGTGCAGACTACTGGGGCAGTTTGAAGAAGTGGTACCTGCGGATTGGCTCCGAGCCCCAAAGCCATGTGAGGTGAGAGACTTTCACTCGTGGTGAGCCTGGTGGACTCCACAGCTGTTATGTCAGCTGGAGGTCAAAGGGGGCAATCCCTGACTCGTCAACCACTACCATATCCACAGCAGAAGGAAAAGGGAAGTCCGTCTTTGTGAAGAAAATGTAGACAAAGGGCAGCAAGGGGTTTTTGGCTCAGACGGTGGAAAGGAACCAATAGGCCACTTCCTTTCGTCTCCCCTTCTGCATGTGCCCGTCCCTCCCTTCTTTAGCTTCTCTGTACATTGCTTGTCTTCCTAGACCTGATCAGCTGATCACAGCTATAAGGTTGGCCAACAGAATGTCTTCCCCCTGTCAACACACAGAAAATACCGATCAGTATTTTCTCTCTGAAGGCCATCTTTATTATGTCACTCTGTTGTTCAAGAAATAGTCTTGAGTCCCTGCCATGCACTAAAAGTATAAACTTTTTAGTCCAGTTCTAAAGATAATCAGTTCTCCATAATCTAATTTTACTGATCTAGCACTCTCTTTTCCACCAGGCTGTTACATTTATTTGGGGTACAAGGGCTTCTTGAATGAGTTTCACTGGAAATCCCACCTATGTGTCATGTCTATAATGGTTTTATTAAAAACCCTCCAAAGCACAGCTTTGAGATGGCTGGCAGAGTTCTGAAATACAATCAGCAAGGCTCTAGTTAGGCTGTTGGTGCTGCCTGTGAAATTTAAATCAGGACAATAAATGATGTTTCTCATGCGAAGTTTGTCTAAAGACCCAGGCTATGAAATATGGACAGAAAGACACCATGTCACAGCAAACACATGAGGAGCAGGGTGTCAAAAGTCTAGAATAACAGGGTTCGAGACTTTTGATTGTGTTTGGCTCAATAATGATACATCTACTATTCACAAAGCACTGTGCTTTTGTGTCTGGGACTCAGTCTCTGTGAGACTGGCAGAATGAGCACAATAGTCCTTATTTTGCAATCTGGATTGGGAAACCTTGGGCCAGAAGCAGGCAGAACTCAGACCCTTCACTCCAGATACAGCACGGGTGTGGGAAGGAGGCGGGGGGGAAAGCAGCTCTTCATGACAGGCCACCAACTCCAACTGCCATTCCAAAAAAAAAAAAAAAAAAAATCCTGTGGAAAGACGCCCCAATGCTTACCTAGTTCTTAAAAGAATTTTAATTCCCTGATTTGATACAATATTTGTCACATAATCCCATCCTCATCCCCAGATGGCTATCTGTTATTTTTGCTGTGTTATGTTCATTTAAGTTTCTTCTGATGATGACATCTTAATTTTTTCTAGGCTACAAAGCACCTTTTCTTAATCTTAATTCATGGGATTTCCAGTGGGATTGACCCCAGCTCCAGCTCACTGGGTGGAGCAGCTGGTAATTCATTGCTGCCCAGTGGGCACATTGCATTCCCTTGGCCATGGCTAGGACCACCATGATTCACTCTGACTCACACGCAGCCAATGAAAGTGTTACTGAGGCTGCTGAGAGAGGGGCACTCTCTTTGCTCTGTGAGATTTGAACAGGTAAAGCTTATGGTGGTCATTTTCTCACTGCATAATTCTGATGATGAAGCCAACATTGGGGATGATAGATCCAAGAGATATCAAGAAACTGCATCTTGATTACATAAATTAGGCCCTGGTTCCAGCCATGTATGAAGTCAGCTTTACCCATATCCTTTTCTCATAGGGAACATTAATTTCCCTCATTTTCTTTAATCCAGGCCATTTTCTGTTTTTAGTCTCTTGCAAATACTGACACGGATATTTTGGAAGGATGTAAAGCAATCACTAAAGGCAGCCATGCTCACCACCCAAAGACACTTGTGGACTTGGGTGACAATGTCCTGACCTTCTGCTCTGGACACAGACAGTTCCCAACTCCAGTCACCTGAAACCGGCCTGCCAGAGTCCCCATGCAGCCCCCGCAACAAATCCTCTTGCCCCTGAAGTATATGATGATGAAACACAACTCACGTGACCCAGTTTCGAGCGTCATTCTGAAAGAATGAGCATCCAAAGATTAAACTCCCAAAAATGTTTGTTCAAAAAGAAACAGAAACCAGAAAGTGGAGTATTTAGAATAAAATAAAAAAAGAATGATAGAGACCAAAAATCCCTAAATGCACTTCCTAGTAGAAAATACTCCAAAGTCAACCAAGTTCACGGGAAAACGCTATTGACAGTGACTTTACTCAGCTGCCATTTGCAGCTCTAGCCCCTAAGTTCCTTAAGTTTTTTTATCATGAGTATATGGCTCTATCTTTGTTTCAGGCACATAACAATGAAAGTAGTTGATATATCTTAGATATGCGTGAATTACATATAAAGTAATCCTGATTAAGGCTGAAGGCTTTAATTAAATGAGCAATTAGCCCTAAGCATGGATATTCATACAAAAAGAAAATATATTAATTAATTTGGATAATTATTTGCTCCTGTGAACAGCAGCCTGCCCTGGGCTTTGTGCTACACCAGAAGTCTTACCTACTGCAGTGAAAGATGGGGAATGGCAGGGTCAGGACAGCGCTCCACTGAGGGGGAGGCTCTGACTTCTCACACCAGTTAGGAAAGGCTCAGCCTGCTAGCTAGCACCTCTTCACCCTCTGTCCTCCACCTACGCGGATGTCTCACACCCAGCCTGCAAGTGGATCTGCTCCACCTCGAGAGACTTCACCTGGCCCCACCTGCTGCCTGACTGGACTAGATGGTGGATTTATGCTGAAGGAGTTAAGGAGAGAAAGAGACAGAGACAGAAAAGAACACAGTGAGAGGGAGAAAGTGAGAGTATGTGAGAGACAGAGAAAGAGAAAAAGAAAAAGAGCAGATCCACAATGTTCTGTCTCTCGGTGTGTCTCTCTTTCGCCATGTGGTGAAAGTCAAAACAACATTAAGAAGTGAGGTGAGTTTCTCTTTCTGAAAGGTATTACTTACACTTGTGATAATGTTGGCTAGTTTTTAGTTGTGTAAGTCTTAAAGGGAGGTAATTATATAACTTTCTTTTCTCCAGGGTTTGTAAATCACAGCTTGCTAATTCATCATTTAAAAGTACGTGTACACTTTTCAAGTCTACAATCTATAAGAAGTGAGTTTTTTTTAAAAAAAAGAAAAAGAAAAAAAGCACACGAGTAAACATTGCAAGAGCAATTTACATTAGACCATTTCTCCCTATACACCCTTACACATGCGCACATGATTATTTTTAAAGTCATTTTCCTGAAAGTAGTGTTCTAGCCTAGCAGAGACCAGGGCCAGTTAATGCAGAATTCAAGGTTGATTGCCTTGGACTAGGTTCTCAAAACTACTGAGAATGAATAAGAACAATAAATGAGAAAAATGAATGGATGGAACGGGTTATAGGCATAACATTGGAACTGAAAGACTCCAATATTCTATGTCAAAATAATAACCATGAGCAAATCACCAACATCTAGTATTTACTCAATAATATAACCAGAAATATTCAAGAGAGGATAGGAAAAAATGTTTCCGAAGAGATACAAGTTAAAATAAAAATGTAATGCCATTTTATCTCATTAATCAATATTTTTAATTAATAATGATTATTGTTTACAACTATCGGTCAATATCTGGCATTTCCTTATATTGATGGTCAGCATGAAAACTTACCCCAA